AAGAAAGTCTGGCCTTCTTGTTGTTTGTTTGCTTACCCATGTCTAGAGTAATAAGTTCGTGTTTCCTGGACCCCGAGATCCTTGTCTCGTTAGGAGAGTCGAAGATAAAAAAAGGGTTTCTTAACAAAATTTTGATTTCGGTTGTATTTCCGGAAGTGAACCGGAAAGAGTTTTTTGTAGAGAGAGTTTTTTTAGAGTTAAAATTATAAGATTTTAAAAGTGTCATTGTTTTTTATCTTTTGTTCTAATCATTAAGTCCCTTTACATTTAGGGTAGCAATTTTAATTATTGCTTTAGTTATTAGATATTATAAGTTAAGTGTGCTTTTATTGAGCTTTTGGAGAAATCTTCTCTGTTCATCCTTTCTTGTATAGAGCTTGTCTTACTGTTGTTTGCTTATATATATTTTGCTTTGTTTGTTTCTTTTTTTTTTTTCCTCTTGTAGGATACAGTTGTAAAGTCTTCTTCTATTTGAATTGCTGACGATATATTTTCTTAAGGGGGATTATATTCTTTATTATTATCTTTAAAAAATAGGCATCTAGTGCAAGCTCATCTCTTGTTGTAAGTTCTGCTTCTGAAAAAGTGGTTGCTTGTTCAGCTTCTTTTTGAGTGTCTTCTATTTTGTCATCTGTGCTATAAGAGATATCCTTTATCTCTTGCTTATCAGGTATTTCTATACTCATTGCTTTTTCTTTCGATTCCTCTTTCTCTTCAGTTTTTGGGGACTTTCTACTTCTTAAGCTGTTTTGCTAAGGTAGTCTCTGTTTTTTTGTCTTGAAGGTTTCCTTGAACTCTCGATAGTGTTGTCTTAATGCAACTGACTCTTTGAATTGAGAGCATTCTTTTTTATATGCCCTTCCTGGTCACAGAAGTAGCAGACTTTAGGAGTGCCTTCCATTCAGTTTAATTTTGTTGTCTCTAAGATGGGTAAAGCAAAGAATTCGCTTTTCTAAATCTCCATCTTCTGTTGTATCAAAAATGACAATCTATTGATCAGTTAAATATAGTGTTCTCTCAATTGCCAGTGGTTTGATTGAGGCTATTTTGCCAAAATCTTGAAATATATCTTTGATTAGTATTGTTATTTCTTTTTTTCCTTCTAATAGAGCATTTCTGAGCTTTACTGAAAGAAAAGACTTTCATGAGTCTGTTGGAATATAACCAAAGTATGATTTGTTGAAGATATTGATACCTTTGGCTGCATGTTGACTAAGAGTATTCTTGTTAGAGAAGATAATTTCAAGTGTGTGCGCTTAACCTTTTTGAAGTGTTGCTTTGCTGCTATGATATCTTGTTTAACACTTTTATAAAGTGAGATCATTATTTCATTGAAAGAGCTTTGAATATCTTGTATTTCGATAATTAATGCATTCTTATTCTTGGTTCTTATTTGTTCTCTAGGAGAGAAAGCTGCATAAGTCGATTGGCCTCCTTTTAATTTTGCAAATAAGCTTGACAACTTTTTGTTGGTTGTATCCTTTGGTTGACTAGTATCTGCTTTGGTTAAAGTTGAGCTTCCAATGTATAGATTATTTTCTGAGAATTCTGTGGCCATCGGTATGTTTTGTTCTATTGGTTGTTTTTGATCTATAGTCACGTGATCTTGCACATGTTTTGTAAAGTAACTTGTTTTGTTATTTTGTTGTTGTTCTTCGTTTTTACATATTGACATGTTTGTAGAGGTTGAGCTTTGGCTCTCTTCTTCTAGAGATGCTAGTTCCTCCCAGCTAGTATTTTTTGTAGTTGTTTTGATTGCTTGTATTGAAGTAGCTACATTTGCAGTGGTTTTTTCTCCTTGTTGTTGTTTTGACATGCTATTTATTTCTTTTTGTTCGTCGAAGAGAAAGTTTTGTATTTTAGTTTTTTGTTGCAGGTTTCTTGTATTCCAAGAGAAATATATCTTCTTTTCCTTGGTACAAGGGCTAGTGCTCTTGTTGGGCCTTGTTTTAGATTGTTTGTAAACTTGTATTGAGTAGTTATCATGTTTTTTTGTTTGTATTCTTTTTCTTACAAATTTGTATGGAAGAGAGTTTGTGTCGATCTTTTTTGATTTTTAAATTAAGTATTAGATATAAAAAAGTTTTATATAATTGGAAAAAACTCTTTCCGGTTCCCTTCCCGGAAAACACTTGAAATCAAAATTTTACAAAGAAACTCATTTTTTATCTTCGATTTTTCCAACAAGACAAGGACCTCAGGGTCCA